ACGTCGCTCTCATCGAGCCATTCAACATCATGGTGCTCTGAATTTTGAATAATGCACTTCAGTTCATTAGCACGACGAGCAGCGACTCTTACAGGTCTAACTTTCCTAACAGTGTGCGTGTTTATTTTTTTATGGATATTTTCGATGTGACGATTTAGTGACTTGACGGAAAGATGATAAAGACCACACGTTTTGCATGTTCGACTTGATAGCCTCAATTTTACCGTCGGACAAAAATAATCGTAGGGCATTTGCAGGAAATCTTTGAGTGAAGCACTTAAGCGTAGAACTAAATTGACTGGAAGATTAAAAAAGTGTCCTCCTTCATCCAAAACCAAGTCATCAACTGTTTGTTTTACTTTTACAGGTGGTGGAAGAAACCTATTGTCTAGTAATCTAAATAGGCCACTTCTTGGACGACATCATTCTGTATTTCTACATTTTACAATTTGAAGCAAGTATTGGCTCTCACGCACATGTTCTGAATACCATTTAATGTCTGGAAAATCAGGAAGATCTTCTTCACCTGCCCCTACGTATTTTGCATTAACATTATAGCCATCAATTTCCATTGAACTCGATACTTCAGCTAATACATTTCCATGGTCAGTTTTAGCTAATGGTCGAAACTCTTCAAGTTCGAGAAGCGTCTTGAAATCCTGAGCATGAGTATTAGCAGTAGATGAACTATGCTTTCCACTTCGAATAGCGATGTATGTTGGTCCAGAATATCCAACCGCTTGCGGTTGTCCTAACATATTGGAAGTGATTTTGATACCAGCATAAACAGATGGTATTAATTTATGACGCTCAGCGATTACCCAATCGTGATCAGGCAATTTGATTCTATATTCCATGTGCATTAGAAGAGGTGCTTGCTTATTTACCGCAGTTACGCCAATAGGGACTCGAGCTTTATCATCTTGAGATATGAAAAATACTTGATCTGGTCCAAGTATGGATGCTATGTTCTCTAAATAATGGATTGATGTTTCAGCGAACTTGCTATCTAAGTGGCTCTTGTGGTGATCAGCTTGAGCCCGAATGAGCTTAACAGGGACTGTCGATACATGTCTTCGTCCCTCTGCAGAATTAGATTTTCTGGGAATCAAACGAAGATATGTCCCGCTGCGACTAATGTCAAATCCTATTTTACGTAATTCTTGTGTGAGTTCATCAAGAGTCTTTATGCTGCGAATTGATTCTGTTCGTCTTCTATCATCTGCTGCACTCCCAAATAAAGCTATATCTGCGATTGTTTTCAATAGAGAATGTTGATTGCTTTCAAGATTAGGACGTCCCAGTGAATCCCTCAGAGATAGTCTTTTTTTTATTTCTGGATTTTCATGACAAATATCTTCTAACTTTCTTTTCATACCATCCCTGTGTTTCTTCTGGGCAACTGCGTTTTGAACCTTCCTGTTTAAAGACTGTTTTGCTGTTTTAACTTCCTCGCGCAACTTAATGATCTGTTTATCAACTTCAGTACGGCGTGGCATAGTATCTCTGGCAGAATAAAAAGCATTCAGATTTTTTTCGAGTAGAGCAATCTTATTTTTCATAGCTTCCTGAGAAGGTTTTGCTCTCTGTTTATCTGTATTTTCATTAATTTCGCATTACCGGGTTTTATTTTATCTTCTTCCTCTTTTTTAATATTTGAAGCTGACTGTGTAATTTGTATTTTTTCTGCAGGTTTACAGGTTGGCTAAAAATAAAAACTTTCTATTCTGCTAAAGATTCTCTTATTAAGCTACATAAATACAAAGTATGGCAATATACAGGTATATGGTAAATACAAAACCCTATGGCTTTGAATCTAATATGTTTAAACGAGCAATTCGATCCGGTCACAAAATACAGGGTGTTAGTTTTCTGTATCTATGTATAAAACTAACATCCTGTACTTTGCGACCAATTGACGGAATCAATCATAAGAAATAAATCTATAATATAATGAATATTACCTCTATACTCTGAGATAGGCCATAATATTTTCTAATCAGTAAAGAGAAACCTTTTGGCGATTTCTAATATTTCTAGTACTCATAGGTACCTAAAATGATTTCGTCACTCACCTTAGAAAAAAATTTTAGTAGATTGGATTTATTCTTAGTCGCCGCTCGCAATTCTTCTTCGATTCTCTTAAATACAATAATATCTAGTTCTTTGTCGGATTTTGCTTGTAATTTGTAATTTCGCCACACTTCGTTAACTGACTTTTGTACATTTTGTACTTTCGTACTTGTATGAGATTTTTTAAAACTTTCAAACAGTTTTTGGTATAACTTGGATTTTTCTATGTGAAACAACATCTTATTTAAACATTAAACTTTGGCTAATGGAATCAATGGTAACACAAATGTTTACTTGCTTTACTATGTTTACAATACGTCTACTCGCTGTAGTAACCAAACGAAACAATACACTGATAGAGGAAATTTAGACAAGTGAACACCGCGCGGTAATTCCCCTACTCGGTTCTAAAGCGAGTAGGGGAATTACCGCGCGCTGTTCACTAAACGTATGCATTATTTGCGGGAATCCCCGAAAATGCGATTCGTTTTCAAGCGAAGACAATGTGAGGGTAGTCATTCGTGTAAAAAAGTAAATAACTACCGATGACGTAATCATCATCTAGACTCCCCTACCCCCCATGTCATCCAAAATAAGCAAAGCAAAGACCCCCCCGCCCCGCCCCATAGTGCTCACGTACCTAATACTTGAACGGCCCCTGAGCATGAAGTGAACGGCAGCTTAGTTCCAAGTTGACGTCTTGTTGAAAAACCTGCAAAATCTCAAAAAAATAACTGATAATGTTAAAAAACCGACATAATGTCACTTTTACATAATACTCCTTCCCAATCGTGAGGCGTGCCGCCTAGACGTATCCCACTCTATCCCCGTTCTTCAATTGTCACAAAAAGCCATTTGTGGAAATTTTTAATTGCCTCTAGGACTCCCCGTTCCGAAAATGAACAGTATATTCTTGAAAATAAATTCTGCAACAACAGCTGCACCACCTCTCCTAGACAGATTCCCAAATCCGCCTTTGGTACCAAACCAAAACATAACAGAGTATGTAGATACATCACATCGCACGCTGCTGCTTGAATATATTCGCGAAATTTCTCGCGATTAGAATCCTTCCTTTCTATCGTTGATGAGAGAAGTAAGAAAAACGAGACATCTCCAAACCACGTTTTACTGTTTCTTCGGCTCCCTGATAATTTAAAAAAAAAATTGAGTACGCCCAAATTTACCAGGAGCTTGAAATTGAAAAACACAAAAATAAAGCTTATTGACGTTAACCATTTTTTTTTGCTCACAAGCTTTGCAGTCACTGAAGCAATTACGAGATATATATTCTTGTTTGTGGTGCAGTTTTTTCAAAATTCTATCCAAATATGGTACCAAAGCCTACACCTAATTACAGGACATAATTATCTATCTGGCAGGCCAATGAAAATGAGAATTGCCCGAGATACATATGTATACATGTATTTCATAGTATTAAACATAGAGAAACCATCTTGGATTCAAAATTTTAGACGATTATAATACTTCTAGTCTGCTGTCGTGGGTAGTAAGACAAAGAAATAAATATAGATTCCCATCAAGAGCAGACTTAGAACATATTTTTTATGATGAATTTGAAATTACCCGCTCAAAGAGGTGCTGGGGAGGGGGAGGGGTTCAGGACTCATGTTCAAGAAGGTGTGGGTATGGGTGGTTGATAACTGAAGGGGGCGGCGGGGGTAGTTAACAGCAAAACTCGTTTGAATTTTTCTTAACTCAGATATTGCGAGAAGGTCTGGACTTCCACGATAACCCCCCTTAGATCCATCCGTGATTCCCATACATGTTCCGTTTGTGTGTTTTTTTTAATGCTCATTTTCAAGCGTGGATATAAGCTATTTAAAAATCATAATTCTAACATGACCATCGTTTATTCCATTTTTATACTTACTATCTTTTTAGAATGCCCTCATTTTTGATTTTTCGTGAATTAAGATTCTTCTAAAGTTTCAAGTTGCGAGTATCATTTGTATACCTACATACCCTCATACAATTTTATGATTCACCACATATGGTTTTTCAAATATATGTGTTATGGGAATTTCACTATTTTGTGACCTGCGCATTAATTAGGTACGACATCACGAGAAACCAAAAAAACAAGAAATTAACTTTTGGTGGCCTGCCATCTTGACTCTGAAAGTAATACCCACATACCATCAATTGAATTTTGAGGAAATCTTGAAATTAGGATTATGCCATCACCTACCTAGATGAGTGAGCAGTTTTATTGTTTTTAAACGTACATTCAGTGGTAGCGGATGAAAAAATTCTAGAACATTCATAGAGAGTTGATTGTAATTGCATGTTCACCTACTGATTCTTCAGGTTTTTGTTAAATCAATAACAGTAGGTACCTACATATTATAAAAATATTACAGACGTTTATCGACGTTGTTTTACTTTGTAATCACTTTAAAGGTATATAACTAAATGAATCATGCTGCTAAATATTTTTAAACTTTCAATTGTCTATGGGAATTGTTTTTTTTTTTAATTTTGCTGCACATTATTTTCAAAGATGTCTATTTTTCGGCAGGTACCTAATATAAGTAATATATCTAGAAATATACCGATATCCAAAAAACAATTATCTTTTTTTGTCATTTCTAAAAAAATAAATATCTGCATTTCAGATTTAAATCTGTGACCATTTAAATGAGAGTGCACCTAAAAGCGTGTACAAAGCCATCTGTTCATCTGTAAAGCCGTTTACTAAACTGAAACGCTAATGAATGAAAAAGAAAGGGAACCAAAACCAAGAGACGCCTTGTCTGGCTCTGCAGGCTTGGCGACAGAATGTCTGGTGTGACCGGACGCCATGTTGCCAAGCTGCCGCATTCCACTAACTTGCCAGGGGTTTTCAACAAAGTTACAAGCTATTATTTGTCAAAAAATGATATCCACTCAACTGTATTTTGTTATTATTACATGTTTTTGACAAAGTTATGGTTCAAAAGCGCGATTAGAAAAAGTAGGTGGCCGCCAGGTCGAACCGGCAACGGTGCAGTTAAACTTGTTTCATAAACGGATGTCGGGGCCTCAACCACTCGCTGTTATCTCAGACGTGCGAGCTAGGCCGGCGCTCCTCGATCCCTTGTCGCACGCCTACGGCATGCCGAGGACGTAACTGTTTGATTATCCCATAAAATCCACTTCAAATCCGTTGTGGTGGCGTGAGTGTACAGTTTACTAAGCGCAGTGGGGATTTCTGTGAAAAATGGTAGCTACATAGTTCGCAGATAAGCTCCGTGGTCCTAGTTTAGTTGTTTTTTCGGGTATATTTACGGTTTTTTATATCATTTTCGGTGTCGTGATGGCCCACGGGGTGAGTTCTATGCTGAAACGACCGTGTAAGAGTGAAAACGGCGGGAAAGGCATCGGTTCGAGACGGATTTTCGCCCCGCATTTCAAGTTACAGGTGTTGGATTCCTACAGGAATGATGCTGACTGCAAAGGTAACCAAAGAGCTACAGCTAGGAAATATGGGATACACAGGAGACAAATCCAAAAGTGGCTACAAGCGGAAAATACGCTACGCAATAGTGTAAAGGATAAGGTAGGGATGAGTCATTTTAACGAATCGATTGTATGTGAACCGGTCACTAAATCCAGGTTGTAGAAACATTCCCAGGCTTTTTCGATTTGCAAAGTATTTGTTTCGGTCATCAGACCATACAAAATTTGTGTATATGACAGGAATTTGATTGCAATATATAATTTTATTAATGGGTGTATCAAAATACATATGAGTGGTTCTAATTTTTTGCCAAATTGTGCATTTTATAGGTACTTATCTACTGCTAGAGCAATTAATTCTTTTGTCCTCGATTAGGCTTTTACACCTGTTGCATACAGCACATTTAAAAAATAAGTGTTCTATTAAATATGTTTTCCATGAATAGTCAGTAACAAACTACTATAAATACTAGCGTACTTTAGACACTGGTTTAATAAGTAATAATTCGCATAATATTGGTGTATACATTCCAAATAGCAGCATGAATTTCCAAGCTTCACCTAAGTTGATTGTCAAGGATCAAGGAGTGGTTCTTAGATGAACAGTTCATTTACGAGTAATACATGGGTCCGATAATGTTTGCTTATCACCCTTCATATGATTTTCTATTTTTTAAATTAATTAGGTAACAACAAAGACATATCGTCGAAAATCTAACTAGGATGATTCAAGAAAATTGCTTGATTAAAACCGCAAATTGTCATGGCCATCTAGATCACCAAATTACGTTTAAAAAAAAACAATATTTCATTGAAAATTTGATACCCTTTGTCTTAAAGCATGACAGACTTCATACAAACTTTGTATCTTACCCAAGAAATTACTTCTTGCAGTTTGGCTAGATACTTTATAACACCTTGTATGCTAACTGATCTCACTGTCACATAAATTATATTTTAGTCAATTATCACATTCATTTGGGATTTATCTTCCATGTGTAGCATGTAAAAATTCATTTTTAGTGCTGATCACAAGATTAATTGATTAGGAATTATCTTACACATGCATTTGATTTGTTGCAAAAATTATTGAGCTCATGGCATTGTGATACAGGATAGTCACTTGTAAGCGTGATTCTTTAAAATAATGAAATTAGTACAGAATTCTTTTTAAATAAACAAGCAGCAAAATAAGCTATGGGGTAACGATGAAATAAATTTTGTGAATTGTGATTAAAAGTTTCATTTTGCATAGTAGCTGTTATTTCTTTTTTGATAGTTATATACTTATAGCAAATACTGAATATTTTTCATTCATTTACATGTTAATGACATTTTGGAACAGAAAGCTAATTGTGTAGACAGATTCATTTTTACAAGCTTTGTTTCTTCTTCGTAAACTTTATTGTCGAGTTGGAAAAGAGTTTCTCTGAAAAAGTGCTATATAACTCTGGATAAACTTTATGAACTATGTACATTTTTTCTTTACCCAAATATGATTTGACCTAAATACCTAATACCATTAAAATTAACAAAATTATTTCCCAAAGACATGTTATCAACTGTTAATGAGCCCCAAATTCCCCGCATTCCACATCCGGAATCATCAAAATGAACCGATTCATAACAGAGTGTTTCCCATCTCTAGGAGAAGGCGTCGTCCTTGAACGGCTGTAGACAGCCTGACGTCGGGCTCGAGTCGGCGGCGGCTCGACCATCGCAACCGCTGGCGCACCAGCAGCAGCCGCCACAGCCTCAGCGTGTTCCGGCGCTACCGGCGTCTGTCCCCATCGCCCCTCCCGCACCGACGTCCTCCCAGGCCCCGCTTGACTTCACAGTGCACAACCGATGCCTCCGCACCAGCCCGACCGTCGCCGACTCGCCTTCGCCTGTCCCCTGCACTTTATACCCGTCGCCGCCACCACTGATGGCGCCTGCGGTCGCCAACATGCATTGCCCCATGGACCTTTCCCTCAAGAAAGAGCCACCTGCGACCATGGGGTATTGCTTCACGGCTGGGATGTTGCCTCCCGGGGGTGTATGCATGCCACTTACCCCGCCGCCCTCCTCGGCTGGATCGACGGATAGTTGCTGCAGGGATGATACGGTAAGTTTTATAGAGCATTATGCTAGGAATGTATAGAATTTTCTTCTGGATGTCGACGACAATTATTGTGATCGCAAACAAACTCGAAAATGAGATACTATGTTTTATGACAAGTACATCACGAAAAACCATGTCAGTCATTTCCGTCGCTCTGTCTACTGTCTGTCTTGCTGACATCAAAAAAAAAATTAGCCCAATCTTTGCTTTTTGAAGTTTCAGATGATCATGATCATTTTCGGAAAAATATTAGGTTTAACCCCTGAAAACTTGGGGTTCCAGGTTGCAGGGGGTGGGGTGGATATGCTACATATTCACAGAATTCTATGCACCTATGAGACATATTTCACTCATCATAGGTGTCTCCATTCATTTACCCTAAAAACTTGGAAATATCTCCAACAGTTGCGTTTCGAAAAGGTGCAATGTGTTCCCCTAATGGACTTCACAGTCGGCAATCGCTTCCGCACTGCTGTGAGCTGCTTGCACTGTGGATGGTGAAGGCCAATATCGTCATTCACGCGGGATTGGCCATCACAACGATTGTGTGCGCCTGCGGCAATTTCTTTCAGTGGAGGAGGAAGGTCATTTAATTTTTAGTTATACATGTTTATAGCTAACTTTTTTCTCAGAAGAGCTAACCTGTGCCAAACATAATCCTTTATGAGTTGATGACAGCTTTATGTGGGAAGTACAGAGTCAACTTACTTGACGCCATTTTTTTTAAATTTTACATGATGTGTACATCACGATAAACCATGCCACTAATTACTGTCGCTCTGACCGCTAATCCTTGGCCCCTCTATATCTTAGAATGTACTGCTCAGATATCAATGACATTTTGACACATGGTTACTACTATGCCAAGGACGAAAAAGCTTTGTACAATTTTGAAGTCAATCCATTGGCGACAGAGTTTTTAAAGATAGTTCAAACGTGATATAAACTTTTGCTAAAATTCAGTAATTCTTTATTAAAACAAGTCTGCAGTCCCACTGGTCTTGATCATAGATTGAAGATTGAGGTCTCATAGATCCTCAGGGTTACAGTTGTGCTTGGAAGCCAGACATTTTTTTGATGGTGGGCCGCAGTTATTGTCATCATTGTTTATATTTTATTGGAAAGAAATGATAAAAGGTAGAAACTAGAAAACGAAGGAGAGTAGGAGTGGAAAGAACAATTGACATGAAAACTGCCAGAGGAGTGATGGGTAGTGACAAAAACGTACATGACCTCGAAAAAAATTAAGATACATTTATTATTGTATGTGATTCATGACTTTTGAATTCTAAAATGGTTGGTTTTCACATAATGCCATAACAGTATGTAATATTTATCGTTCTAGAGCAGTAAAGTAGCACTTTGCGCTTTTAATACAAATTATTAACTATAGGGAGTCATTTACCAGAAAGATGGAAATTCTTGGTAGTGTATGGAGCACTCATGTCTCTCTCTCAATTACAAATAGAATTACTAATTACAAACAAAGATTTTATTAAAAAAAGTACGAATTACACCTCATTTCCGTAATTTTCCAAGCACATGAAATGTTTTTCAATCACATTATCTTATCTTTATTATTTACGTGGAACTCATATGTCAGTAAACACTCGTGGGTTGAGTTTCACAAAACAATAATGTTAAAATTGTATGTCTACTTGCTCATGAAAATCTTTTCAGATAACCCTCAATAAGTTTCAAATACGAAACGCAGAATAACAAAGCTCAGGAAATTTTTAAATGTTGGCACATATAGAAAAAAATTTTCTCTGCGTCCAGAAAGTTGCAAAACAAAACCAAATTTTTAGAATTATCTGAAATTGTTTTTTTTACCCATAAGTCCGCCGCAACTGCACTTTCATTTTCAAAAATGACAATGAAGCATTACTCAGGTACTATACACATCACCATATACTATTTCCAAAATTTCATCAAAACCGGTGAAACCGTTTCTGAAATTACTACAGCAGAAAACCTCTGCAGACGGACTGTCAGAGATCAATGATATGTGTTTTTGTGGTAGAGAGATATCATAAATGATCCGAAAAAAACTTGTAATCAAAAATTCAAAAATATTTGTGATCATGCATGGGAAGTAAAATAGAGTAAAGTTCATGCACTCAAATTGCAATATTCTCAGACGTTTTTGGAAAAATGTAGCATTTCCTTTTTAATTTTCTGTCCTTAACGTTTTTTCTGGTCTGTGCCCTAAATTTTGTTTGCGAACCTTCAGAGTTATTCAAAAAAACTTCTATTTTCCCACATCTTCCAGAAATTCTTAACTGTTTGTCTTAACAGCACCACCACTGGCACTAGACTGACAGAAAACTTTATCATCTTAACATAGTAGTAAGCCTGTATTCATTCTAATAAAGACTTCTTCCTAAAAGGAAATATGAGATAATTATATTGATATGTCTCTTTTCAGTGGTCTACCATCCCAAAGACTGACCCCGACGTGTGGGACCTATCCACAAAAGGCCAAAAACGCAAATGCTCCAGCCCCCCTCCTGACACTAAAACGGTAAAACTGTTTAAGCCGTACCTGGATGTCATCAAAGACTCTACAGAAGATTCTGTCAAGTCAGAACCTAGTCCAGCTTGTCCTGACGACAGTGGCATGCCCACTTGCTGTTCCATACCTACCAGCACAGACACATACTACTTCAATAACAATTATGCGTGTGATGCTGAATGCAACTACACATTGCACGAGTTGAAGCCATACTATTACTACTGCCGAGACTATTGCCCTTGTGACTATGATCTTGGTGGTTGCTACTATGACGAGCTGGGATATGGGCCGCACGGGATGGGAGTCGTTAAACCCAGACAAAGGTAAGCAACAAGCAAATTTACAGTGTAGAAATCCCAGAGTCTGTAAGATAGTTCCCAAGTAGTGGTTTTTAGTTTACCTAAACCTTAGGTGCTCATTTTACATTCTATATGGTTCCAAGAATAAAAACAAAACACAAAAAAATGTCGGGTTAAAGCGCGCTACTGGAAATATGTTTTTCTGAAATGACTTCTGAATTGCACTGCATAATTCATTGAAATTTTAGCAGTATAGTAGTTAGTTTGGATATTACAAGATGGTATCTAAAGATCACTATCAAGCTATTTTTTTAACACCCTATAGAATACTGGCTTAAGTATGATGTTTTTGTGATACCAGAAAAAATGTTTTTTGTCTGAATTTAATAAAATGGTTCTGCCGTTTTTTAAATATTATTAATTTAATTACTTTCATTCTATAAGTTTTATATTGTTTTCATTGTTATAGGTACAGTTTGGACTTCAAGCTGAGCGCAATAGACTGCTACTATCAGGATTCTGTGTGCAAAGGCAACCAGAGGGCAGTGGCTAACAAGTACAACATTCACAGGAGACAGGTACAGAAGTGGTTGAAGCAAGCTGAAGAGCTCAGAACCAAGAATGAATCCATGAAACAGATTCACGCTGTCAGGTAGAAAAAAGTCTAGTAAATTTTGATGTAGTCTCTAAAGAAGCCACACATATCCTTATTTTTATGTAGGTTCCAAATTGTATGAGTACAACTTTTGTTTAAAATTCGGTTGTGTTTATTGAGCTTGTGTCAAATGAATCTAATAGAAGGTCCGACTCATGACATAGGCAGCAGTATTGTCTACAATGTTTGAGTTGACACAATGCCAGGAATATATGATATTGTTTATGAAAACATATTCATTGCTTGAGTGTAGAGTATATTAGTACCATATAATTTTTTTCATGGCAAAGCTTTAATTATTTCATTGCATGTTTCTGATCATGGTCCGCATGAATTTATCTCGGGGGATCACAATCCCCAAAATTGTATACAAAGTCATGCTAAATATGCAAATTTTAAGGTCCAACGGGTCGGTCACTACCCCCCTTGCAGGCGCCCTTGTTTCTGATCAATTACAAATCCGCGTTTATAGGGGTCCGCTTTATTTTTTTCTAAGTTGCCTTCAGTATTAGGATGTAGGTATTAGATATATGGCAGTTCAACAATGATATTATCTTTGGTAATGGATGTTTCAACAGGTATTTTGGGATTTTGTTTTTAATTAAAACTAACAATTTTGGTAAAAGGAGGTGCTCACTTTTGTTAAATTCTATGAATAACATTCTCCAAATTCCGTCCTCAGGTGTTTCTACCAACGAAATCAGAGTAGGTAGAGAAAGCCAGTCAAGGATTTCTTTGTCTTTTAATTTTCATAGTCTGTAGTGTGGATCAAGTGCAATTAACATAAACCAATTTTTACACAGTTTTATCATTAAATGCTTATATTAATGTTATTTCGTGTATAGCTAATTGTGATGTTAGACGATTTCAAGAGATGGTATTTCTTATATAATTTGCAAAGATCTTCACGAGCCTAATGAAGGTAGATGTTTCCACCAGTATAAGTATTATTATGTTGATACAAATGCTGTCACTTTGGTAGGTATTGATAGACAAATGAGTCAAAAGTATGCACTAAAACTACGCAATTTTGGTGACAAACAATGCAATGTAAACAAATAAGCTTCGCTCCTTCTCTATTCGAATTTGTTGGTTTGGACAGATCACCATTCTTCGACTAACATTTCCGCGCGGCTAAACTTCACCAATAACTTGAAAAATGTTTTGCTTCAATAGACTTTCTCCATAGGAAAAAAAATGTCAGCGGAGTTTGCAGTGGATGTTCCCGAGAAGTCCATCCATCCATCAGAAAAACGTGTCTGTGGCTATTTAAAAGTTTCCCTCGCCATATGGCACTTGGTCTTACTAACATACTGCTGAATTTTATATGATTTGTTTGATAATTAGAGTGAAATTTTGTAGTGCATTTGCACAATTATGCGTTCCTCCGCCGTAAAACAATCCCTAATAAAATTCCCGGGTCTCTAAATAATACATTTGCAATATAAAATATCTAGGCCGTCGTTGAAAAATTGCGCTAAATTCTTATATCAATGTACCTATTGGGAACCCCCCAGTTCTATGCTGACTTTTAGAAAATATGAAAAAATATGCTAGGGTTTATATGACTTGCTTTTACCAAAACAAGGAACAGGTGACTAAATTTTTTATCTTGTGCATTAATATCAAGGACCTATTTTCCTCAGTATAATAATTTGAACAAATGTTGAAATCACAGTTTCGGAAACAGATTCAACCGCAAGTCTCGATAATCAATACTGAATTATTCCTATTTTATATGACCATGAAGGACCATATAAAGAATGCCTTATTGTAAATAAAGGGTGCTAAAGATGAATCTAAATCTAAATATTGTTGCTCACATACATACTCTTGTGCCTTATATTAGTTTGTAAGGAAAAAATGTGCCAAAAACTGTAACCTTGGCAGGCAGCTGGTATGATAATTATTTAATATTATGTCAATTTACCTGAAATTCATTGCAATATAAATATTGTATTATTTGTTGGATAGGTTTCCTCGTCTTCCTTTGTATATATTTTTCAATTCTTTTTTGCCATACATTTGGTTTAGACTGCCAAATTGAATTATGTACTTTTGTTTAGGGATTTAAGATTATTTTATTAAGAATTTTTTCAAGTTTGCAATCTAATAATTGTGATTCTATTTGGACATTATACTGTGTATATTATTTTTTTAAATCGACTTAGCCTTCTTTCTAACTGTAGTTACTGATGAAACCCTGTTATATTGTAAATATAATTTTTAAAGTTGGTTCCATCGTAACATTTTTAACAGCAGGGCCGCAATCCACAAATTTTTATAAATATTATTTTATATGAGATTTTATAAAGGATATTAATAAAAGTTGTATATAATTTACATTTAGTTTTATTAATAACTGTTAACCCATAGTGTTGACAAACACGGCATCATCGAGTGTTATCTTATTTGTTGCTGCTTTGAATAGATTTCCTTTCATCTACACCGATGTTTAACAAACATGGGAATTTGTATTCTGATAAGATTGTTCCAATCCTGACTTGTATGAGAAAGATAATTACCAATTATCGATGTTTATTAACATGTAGGTTACTTATGAATTGCCGCGAATGCAACAAGGAACATAATTATGTATTTGTACCTGAGTACACGCGGGTGCAAAATAAATTGAGCGGCAGTTTTCCATACCGCAGCGGCCGCGAAGGTAGACATCCTTTAATCCACCTCACGCTATTGATTGCATCCGTTTGAAGTGTTTGCTAAATAAATATATCAAGTTAATTTCACCAAACTATATCTGGGGGATTAAAACTTAACGACATCCACCGCTGGCATTCAAGATGTGTGCAAAATAATGCTACGAAGTAATGAAGTCGGATTACAGAAAAGGGGTTGTCTTGCTAGCCTTAACACCACTGCAACCCATATGGCCCTTTTGTGGCCACCCATATACATTTTCTAAAGCACTGTGATCATCCTAAACCCTTCAATCGGAATCTTGAGCCTTGACACAGGGCTCTGCATGTAGCTTTCTTCTGTGTAAGTTGTGATTCCTAATATCTGAAACTGAAGCCTTGCCAGGCCTTCTCAATAGCACAAGAGATGCACTGGTCTTTCCTCATGCTCTCCGCAAAACGGTGTGTGGCCTCTTCTGCCAGACCCAAGAGCCTTATCTATAGTCAACGCCAAACAAAGTGGCGTGCACGTCATCAAGGTGGGTGTGTTGAAAAATTTACATTGTTGCCAAACTTTTTGTAAAATAATAAAATTTATTATTTACATATCTAGGTTTATAAGCAATATTAACCTCAAATGAGAACAAAAATAATAGTATAATAAAATTATAGATCTGTACTTGCATAATCATTAAGTATGACAATTATTGATCAGACGACACTATGAAACTACCATATTTAATTGATAGCTTAAAGGTACTGAATAAAAATCCAAATGGGGTCCTCCAAATTTTATGCATGGTATTTATTTTACAGAATTCACACAGAAAAATGCATTCTAAAATTAGGTAAGCTACTGGTGTAAGCTTTTTCTGTACAATAAAGTTAGTCGGAGTTTCTTTCTTCAGCGCTGTCTGAATCTGAATCTTCATCACTCTCAAAGTTGATTATTAAAGGTTCGATGTCTGGTCGATCAAAAATTCGTTCTCTTTCATACCATTTAAAAATTTCTTGCTCAGTATGTCGAACACTATTTTTCCACATGTCTGGGGTAACCGTTTGTAGAGCCTCGTTCCACATATCCAAACAGTCTTTTTCACTGTTACCATCTCTACCAATATGTCTGTTATAGTAACCTTTTGCTATGCCCCAAATTAACTCAATAGGGTTAAATATACAATGGTAAGGAGGCAGACGAACTTTGTGCCCATGTTGTTCCGCCAATTCATCAATCACGTATATTTTAGGTGGTTTGTTTCTAAAAAAGCAGTTATTTTAAGAATAGGAATAAACAAAAGAAATATAAACTGTCGACCAAAATATATATAATTAAGAAGCATTATGTACCGAGCAACAATACTCAATAGCTCTGTTTTAAACATTGTGTTTAAAAATGGTATGTTTTGATTTTTCAACCAGTCTTGGATATTTTTTTTTGTCCATGCATTGTTGGGCACTTTGTTCAATATCATGCTGTGATAAGGGGCGTTATCCAGTATAATCATAGATGGACTCTCCAATTTTTCTAATAACTGATGTTGAAACCATTTCAAAAAATTGTCCTGGTTCATCTCTCCATGGTAATCGCTCAATTTTGTTTTCGAAGAAAATATCGCTTCACTACCCTCAATAAACCCATTTTCATTTCCAGCATGTAATATAATGTATCTATATATTAGTTTTAAATTTTATAGTGCAAATTGTGTAAAAGTACATACCTTTTACCATCTGTTTTAATAGCTTTCACGCTTTTTTTGTTTCCATTTTGCCAAGAGCGACCTATGGTCCCATTTTGAAATATCCAAGTTTCATCGAGGAAGACAAACTGGTATAAGGCCTCAACCTTGGCTTGATTGTATTGCCTTAGAAATTCGACCCTTTCAAATAATGCCCTATCTCTTAATCGAGACCATAAAGTTTGTATCGTAACTTGTTCTTCTGAAACCATGTGTAATATGACATTATAATTTAGTTAACAAATTAATGCAAATTTCTGATAAGTTATTATAATAAGATCTTACTTTTGTGATACATATTATAGATCACTTCTCGAATGGCACTTGTATCCAATGTCGCTGTGTTGGTTACACGTTTAATATAACTCCGCTTTTTCTTGGGCGATTCTAAATTTGCATCACTTTTCACACCCTCGGAAATACGACTAACTGTCCTTAAACTAATTTTTAAAGCAGCAGCAACACGCTACAAAAAATTAAATAAAATTTCACTATTATTAATATACATTACATATAATTATTAGTAACCTACCTCTTGAACAGCATTTAAAGGCAACAAAGGCCCGTTGTTGTCCCTTTCTTGCTCAAAGTAGTGCATTAACGAGGCCACGAGTTCCTTACACCGACTATTTAACTGTTTGGGCATCTTTATATACCAAAATTGCCTTTATCTACTCGTAAAATGAATAATTTTGTTTTGAAACAAACAGTTGTTGATTTACAGTATGCGGGGCCAAAGGATTTATAAAGATTTGAAATGCCACAAATTGATTCAGTGTCAAAATTAATACAAATGTCAGTTCCCAGTTTAAATAAGTTTCAAGGTGACAATGTGTCAACGCTGCGAAATCGGTTTAGTGCGTTTACATGTCGATAAGTGATTGGAGCGTTTGCAAAACATTTTATTTCGCATAATGCGTCTAAATTTATCAGAAAGCAACTTATGTGATATTTTAATAACAATGTTTATATGACTATTAACCATAATAAGAGAGTAATGACCATTTTACAATTTATATATCACATTAATATGAAACTGCAATAGAGCAATTGTTTGTGATAGAAACATAGGCATTAGGTCGGGGAATTTTTATCGTGATGACGTGCACGCCACTTTGTTTGGCGTTGACTATATGTTAATCTACTCGACAGTGTCCTGTAAGGAGACTCACCATAGCCCTTATGGCATTCCTATTGAATCTGAGTAGGTCCTCTGTAAATTCAGGATTTGTTCTTCAATGATCTCCTTTGCCTCGCTGATTTTCACCATTCTTGGGACATTTTCTTGGTCCAATTTCTTAAGGATTGCTTCATGCGTGTTTTCACCACGCCACAGAAAGGCTCTGGGCCTATAAGAGAGTGGCCGCACCCCGTTGGGCTAGCTCATCCGCCTACCCATTTTCTTTGTGCCCCTCGTATCCTGGTACCCAGAGAACTGTCACATTGTGTCGGTTTCTCTACACTGGCCACTAAATGAACCCTAAGATGGTGAATATAGTGATTTCCTGACATTTAGGCTGCTTCGGCAAATTAAAAATGTTTACTCCTCCATAGGCTGAGTGCCGTTTCACATGGAACGTATGGTCAGAGCAGGTCATCAGGACAGACGAGCACGTACCATTGGTTTTGTATGAGCATTTCACATGAAGCGCGTATGATCAGTGTGTATGATTTGGTACGACGGGTATACGCCGAGCCCGTGCGTTAACGTAGCATCAGCGCGCGCACGAGCAATAGTTTTAATGAGCGATTTCACTCAGGACTGACGGTCAGTTGCGTACCGGCAAGCGAGGTAGCCGTTGCTTGTCTGTGCACGTTTTGTGAGGTTACTTGTATGTTATTAAATTTACTGGAGTACAAAGCAAAAAAGGCACCTTTTAGATACCTTGCACATATAATAGAATGTACCCATAAAAGTTTTTTTTGTTTTCTCGTCTCCTTTTAATTATAAGAAAAGATATGGTAACAGCGATTTTCCTTCGCCTGTTCAACATGGTATTCAAATTTGAACTGAGGATCCGTTTCATATGAAATGGGTACGCCCCACGTATCATCAACGCTGATATTTCAGAGCTGACCTTACGCTCCATGTGAAACGGCTCTTAGGCCGCACTACGGTTTTTTCCCACAAGCGGTAAACAACCAAACCGCAAAACCGCCCGAGACGCACACACTGTGGCACAAAAACCGCGAAACTGGACACGATTTTCATATTTTGAAGATGGATTTCAAGAGAGCTGTATGTGTTGCTGCTCTACTACCAAGAAGCAGAAAAAGAAAACGTTATCAAAAATTTCGAAAATATTGGGATCATCCACTGACTAGCAGAAGATTTAAGAAAGCTCTCTTTCATAAATATTATCAAGATTTAAGAAAACATCCTGAGACATTTTTCAACTACTATCGGAACGGAAAGTTCTGTGCTTTAAGCACAATGGCGTTTATATCAACGACATTCCATCCTAACACTTTTGACACTGTGTTTCTAGATGTACGATTACTGGGGAAAGGTAAATACGCAGAAAATTCTTATCCTGCCGTTCTTCAATTTTCAATAGTCGGTAACCCCCCGTCCCCGTTTTTCTATCGTCATACGATCACAAGAACATTCGCTTCCACAAGTCCCCAAACCTCAACATGTCCCACTGGATCAGTTTTCTGTGAATGAACTTATATGTTCGTCCAGATTATACGTGCATATCTAGTTCTTCATGACGGTGTTCCCAAGAATGAAAGTACCGCGAGCGGTTGCCGCGTCAATATAAGTTCTATGAACTACAAATTTCGGCGCGGTTGTTTCCCGCTAGCCATTCTGTAACAAGTCGCGGTTATAGAATCAGTCGCGAGAAAAAACCGTTGGTTTAGCCGTAGTGCGGCCCAAGCCTAAAGCCGTTTTACTTCGCACGCCAGTGGCGCGAAAAGTGTCTAAAATGAGATGTTATGTTTTTTAGGTCTTATAAATAGACATCTGCATCACGTAATATTATATCACTAATGTCCGTCTATAACTTGGAAACTACCGCTCGGATTTTTAGGAAATTTCCACACAAGGTTACTACCATGCCAAAGCTTTGTAGTTTCAGTCAAGTGGCGGCGGCGCTATAGGCAAAGAACGAATAAAATAACAATTGCTGAAACTCCGTTTTTGACGTTTCAGGGGTACCTAATCATTGTCATAAAAAAATAAATTGTAGTGCTTAAAAACTGGGGGTTAGGGGAAGGTGATATTAAATGTTTCATCTTTGGTATGTGAAACACGTTCTATTATTAAGAAGCTTCTGATCCCAGTAATTATAGGAAATTTAAGTGGCAAAAACGACGATTTGAAAAAATCTGTACCTGTGTTATAGGTTTGACACCGAGACAGATCTGCAACTGCCGACAGCAGGGAAGAATACATTCGGATATTTATAATGAGGATTATTAGGGCTGGATCGCGATTCGAAATTCGACTCTGTTATTATGGAAATTTACCCCGGTACGTGCCCGCAGTCATGCTTTCCTTTTTTAAAGTAGCGCCAACGACCGTCTAAGACCAGCCCACTGGCGTTTCCTTTTCACCCCCCCATCAGGAGATATGGTAGTCGTGATTGTGGGAGCCGCGTTAAATGTAACATGAAACACAACGCTATTTGCGTGACGCCAGCATTTGCGACTGTGACCAGCCAACCTTTTGTTGTCCCTTAATCAGTCCAATTTGAAATGGCTGGCTTTTGTTTCCACGTCACTGATTGATCTGTCGATTCGATGCTCCAGCTTTTAAGTCAGTTGTTTTAATAAGCATAACCTGATCAAAAGTACAATCAAATGACAAATCATGAGTTATGACGCAACTGCGAAGCGCGCCTAATTAGACATTTCTAGGAATGAAAGGAGCCTAGCAAAGGAAGTCGTTATATCTGATTTTCGTTGTAAGCGATAATGTCTTCTTTTTTAGTTATTTAGGTATATAAAGGTCAATTCTATGAATTTGATACAAAAGAAAACAGGTAAATTTAATAAGATGATTAATTTAGAACATCTCAAGGCACACCAAAATAAGTAGTTATATATGTTAGTACCTATATACAACAGTAACTGAATTAAAAAACATTATGTAAATACATATTACGTATTATCATACATATGTAAGAAACATAAAAACATGGAATATATTGGCTTACTCACAAAGAACATGGCTTATTTTTTGAAAAAAGTAGTTTTAGATTGCTTTTTACATTTATCAGTTTGGTATGCACACTGAAATTCCTAACCATAGATTTCAAACATTCCTGCTTTGAAGGGCTGCTAAATTTCTCATTAAAAATTAGAAAATTTTGTTGAGTACTGTTGAGACTAATATTCGATTCTCGAACGAAGACAAAAAAAGTGTAATATTAACGAGTTTTAACCGGCAAAAGTGACGGTTTGCCACTGTTGCCGATATTTTCGTTAAGTGAATTATGATAAAAACGTCGCTTTAAGCGATATGTCGTTATAGCCGTTTTATACGGTTTTCTTATATACAGGAATAAATATAGTTTCGCCGATCAATGCAAACTTCGTCGTATAATGCGATAGGTCGTTATATGCGATGTCGTACTAAATGATTTCTACTGTAGTTGGAGTCACCGTTCTTGGCGGTTACATCATCAATGCCATATGAATTGAGTAACAGACAGTCTCCGCGTATCATGGGCTGATCTTAATTTTCCCAACTAACTCCAGTACGCATGAAGTGGGTAACAGGGGACTTCTGTTTTCATTCTCTTCCTGGAAATACTCTAATAAAGTATGATTGAAGGGCACTCATACGTAAAGACAAAGTTTTCGAGACGGAGACACACAACTTAAAACGTACGTCTTTGACCTTACCGAACAAACGTTCACACACGGGGGTAGATTGCATGTGTATGTATGACGGAGATGGAGATATAGAAAGGGATATTGGTCGTCTTACTTTGACCCCCCCAAAAATGATGACTACCACTATACCAAGGAATAGTTATAGAGAGACATCCATATACCACTGACGTCAAAAGGTGTACGAGAGAGAAGCGCGGATTACGTATGTTAGAAAGAGATAGTAGCACCACGTTGCCTAGCAACCCGGGCGATGAGATTACCAGCGGTGCACTCTTTCTAGCATACGTACGCTCTGTGTAAAGAAAATACAGATAGGGCGAATAAAATTAAAGAGAGAGAGAGAATGATGTAAGAGATGACTCCAAAAACTCCACAAAACAGCTGATAGCGTCTAAACACCGCTGTATAAATGCGTTGTTGCTAGATATTTAATCTTTTTTAGATAAATTCGTTGACCATCACTAGTAGTGAGCGCATTTGATGTTCAAATTTACTTTTGTTTGGACATTTATTCATGGTGGGGATATTTATTATCCATTTGCAACTTATAAAATATATTTCTCATTCAAGTTATGAATCACTTTTCGCGAGAGAAGTTCTTCCCCAAACCTGTAAGTTATCACATAGCTATTTATCTTCAAGCATAACATAAAAGAAGTACGTCAGCTTGAAATTCAAATGTTATCTAACATCAAATTGATTATTTGACCAATAGTAGGTCTATTTGACATGGCCGGAAATTATCTTCCCTGGCTTTAAGACGATATGTTTATTTCTCATAACTTTTTGACGTAGCCATCGAAAACCGTGAAAAGAGATGAACTCCATTCTACTTAGTATAAATGTAGCGTTTTATAAATATTTTATGGCAACTTGGCAACACCACCTCGGTAGGCAAGGATGTTTCCACATACATGACAGTTTTTATTTGTAAGCCACTAGTAGTCCAAGAGGCGACCACAAAGTTTTGGTTGCATCGCATACTGATATGGAATGTTAACGATTGGCTTCTCTACTATAATGCAGATGACTCCCAAGGTCAATAGGACTGCGGATTATAAACGCACTCCACGAAGTATAACTACTCTTTGATGATATGGTATGCTTCTTCTCGTGTTGATGCAGCAGTACTCTTATCACTCGTCATTCCTAGATATTAGAAAATAGTCGAAATTCTGATCTATAATAATAATGATGAACTTGAAAATTTCACGTATTGAGTAATATCAGATCAAACGCATTCACACACCAGAAGTACAGGGTGTCCAGTAGGAAAGTTCACTATTTGATTTAAAAAAAAAATACAAAATTAATGAAAAGGAAATATTTATTACTATCAACATATTCGTAAATTCGGCGGGTTTTATTTCTTAAATATCATTCCGTCCAAATGTTTGCCATCCCCTCGGACACACTCTTCTAATCGCGCATGCAAATTCTGAAATACTCTCTTGGAGAGTTCAGCAGTGATGTTTATTTTTCGTCGAATGTTGTCTTTTAAGCTCGCCCAGAGTTCGTGGATTATTGGAATACACTTTGACTTGAAATAACCCCACAAAAAATACTCGCATGGCGTGAGGTCGGGTGAACTAGGAGGCCAGTGAATGTCTCCAAACTTCGATACAACTTTTTGAAGAAAAAGTGTTTTCACCGTGTCCATCGATTCTCTGGAAATATGGGCGGTGGCCCCATCCTGTTGGAACCATGTGTTTCTGTTAAATCGACGTTCTGATCTTACAATAGGAGCAAAAAAGTGTCAATCATGTCCTTGTATTGCTCGGAATTGACTGTCAATGCATGACCGTCTTCAATAATACTGCTGGAGGATATGGTGCACCAAACAGTCATCTTTAGACTATGAAGCTGTTTTTGATGTTTCTCTTTTGGGTTCGGTGGTGCCCAATATCTGCAATTTTGCTTGTTCACATAACCGTGTAAGTGAAAATGGGCCTCGTTACTGAAAAGAACGTTCTTTTTTCTTCATTATGCAATGCAGTGTTGACCTAGGGATTCCCAAAGCAGCGGAATGATTCCGTACAGAACGCCGAGGATCTGCACTTACTCGACGCACATTTTCTTCAGTTGATTCAGTAGGTGTGGGGCCAGGAATGGGTTGACTGAGAGTAGAGCCTGTTTCACGGAACCTCTTAATCCACTTTTTCAATAGGTTCTTACTTGGGCCATCTCTTGGTCGGCGAATTTTGATTTTGTATCGTCTACAAAATTTCCGAAGGGCAGCTGCGTATGAATCACCACTCTTAAAGTGAGCCTCGATAGCAAAAGCACGTTGCGCTCCGGTCCAACGTTCCATTGTGACTATTTAACTCGCACGCCGAACGCGTCGATCATGAACACACCCACAACTTGTAAGATCATGGAGCACTGATTGGCCATATAATTTCAATAAGCAGGCACATATTTCCTCACATATTTATTTTACTGCAGAATTACATTCCATAAAATCAAAATAATCTTCAATACATTCTCCCATAAAAACTGTTTGCACTTGTATACATATACCTGTATATTTATATAGTAAATATAATCATAAAATCAAAATAAATAGATACTTCATGGAAGTAGGATAAAATAATTCAATATTCACAATAAAGCAAAAATATAGAATAAAATTAAAAGTGCTCTGCTATAGCCAAAATTGTTAAGTTCCAAGTATTTGGAAAAACGGGAATTACATAATGTACAAATATGTATATTTTACATAATATTGTATTTTTTATCAGTTACTAGTCACAATAAAAACATTATTCAGCCTGACCAATACTTTTGCGATAAAACCAGGAGTTTAGATTGATCGTGCTAAACACAAAAGATTATATTATTTAAAATGCTGCATTCATGTTGGCAATCCACCAGATATCTTTTATAATTAAAAGTAAGAAAGTGAACTTCTTTCCATTAATTTTAGTACAGTCAATGAACACATAGTTCTTGTGGGATCCAACGAAATATTTTTACTATGGATGAGGAGGAGAAATCTTTGCGTTTTCAAAATTAGAGTTCCAAATTTTCCGAAGTATATTGAGTGATAAACTCCATAGCAATTTTATGATGCCGCTTACATTCTTTAAGGTTTCTAGAAAGTTTGTCTAAAGTCCACAATTCGCATAACGAGTGATCCATAGTGAGGTACTTTGTTCAGTAAAGATTTTGTGAATAATCAAATTGGATAAATGTCAAACGTCAAGGTGTATGTTATTTTTGAGCAGGATTGTTTGACACTTCTTAAGTCAGCAGAACGCCACACAGATCTTCAACAAGGAATATAATTCATGCATTTTTTCACACATAAAATAGTAAAAAGGGTCGATTTATTATCATATAGAAAATTTGGAATTCCATCTTTAATTTTTTACGACACATGTTCAAAGAGATCGCATCCAATATAATAATGATGTCCTTTGACAATTGCACATGAAACGAATACAAGACACTGGCGCAGCTAGGTAAAAATTTTATGTTCCACAAAATACGATCACACATTCAATTTGGGACCCTCCACGCTACTTGTATGAAGCCGCGACAGTCCAGGGTCCTGCCCTGTTAGCAAGTTAATAATCAAATTAGGGAATCAATCATCAACAACTGAAATTCTACAAAAGTATATATAGAAAATATTTTAAAACACAATGATCAATAAGTCATCGAAAAAAGGTTCTAAATGATAATATTAATTGATTCCTCCGTACTTTTTTATGTTTATTCATTAATTACATGTTGACAACTGATTTGAAATTTTGTTCAGTTACGGCACCCTCGAAAAATGGCATTATTGTATTAGAGTGTAGAAATGAGCATGGAGGGACTCTTCTATTTTTGAAAAAGTACCTATAACTGGAGCTCTCATCACTTTATGCGTGTGCAGTATCATAAAATGCTTTCATCAACTTAAATTTACTATTAAACATGTACCCATGTTTATAACTACTTTAAAATTTTGATATATACTAAACACGGCAACAACAAAAGTTTGTTCATTTGTTGCAATTTTTTAAACCCCTTTTACACGTCGATTCAGTCCCCCTAAAAATGACCCATTACCGTATCCCAGTGTACAAACTGAGGACGGAGCGAGTCTCCTTTTGGGACCTCGCCTTACTGAACACATTCCAAAAGCGAAGCGTCTCATCTCCAGCTCCCGTAACGATGGCTTCTCCATCTGGCGATAAGGCCAAATATAACACTCTGTAAGAATGGCCTGTTAGCTTGGCGACTTGTGTTAGGCTCGGATACTTCCATACGAGGATCTGGTTCTGGCTGTAGCCGTGAGTTGAGACTAGTTCAGAACTGTGCTTTGACCAGGCCAGGTTGCATACTTGGGAACCTGTAAAAAAATATAATTAATCTAAATCTAGTCAATGTTGCTAAGAATAATGATTTCTTAGCGAATTACTCTGAGCATTAACAAAAGGATGGTTGATCACCCGATCATTAAATATCCACTGGAATTGTCGCCGTCGGAGGGCTAATTTTAAAAGAGGTTGCCATGCTATTTTTTAAGAGGATTGTAGGTAAGGTTTGTATGAATTAGTCGGTTTGAGATTAAGAACTATTTGAATTTCAAACTGACAAATCTCTTTTAATCCGACAAATGTTGAATGCGAAATAGTTGCACCATTTTCAGATCTCAGTTAAACCTACATGAAACAGATTTCAATATAGAAACCACGCCTATATTGCATCAGGCCGACGCTGTTGCCCTTTCTGTCCACCGCGTGCGTGGCGATCGATTTAGTTCCCCTTCTACGCACTTCGCTCCTGGCGAATAACATGTTCACATTTGTGTACTTTATATTTCTAAATTCCAGTTGCCCTTCTTTCTTCAACAGACCTTACCGCATGCGTTTTATCACACCTCTTTCTGTTAAATCTTTTGAAACATGAATCATGTATTGCCAACACATCCAGCAGTTGTGTTGGTGTAGATGGAATGGTTCACATATCACAACGTCGGCTTTTTAATCTTCAACAAATTGTATAACACCTTCTGAAGCCTGTGGGATTTAATAAGTTATTTAATCAAAAAGACGTTTGCAATATCGAATGCTCTATCGAAGTCTGTCAATTTCGTAAAAAAGGCATACGTGCATACCAGTTCACTCTGCTTTGCGAAGGTGAAACGCTACATATGAGTAGTTGTCACTTTTGTTTTATTCTTCCCACATAACAATATGAGTTTTTCATCAGACACATTTCCTCTGATTTGCTTTCAGTCATCTGTTTCGAGATGACTAGAAATATACCGCACTGATGATTGTTAGAAAACATGACACAACGTTGTATGTATGCGGTTGATTATCAGCCTGTGTTTATGCAACTGTTGCAAGAATGAGATGCCGAGCGACTGAAGCTTTCAGCTGCAAACGTAAGGGTCGGCAGTACCGTGGCTGGAGAAAGTACTCGTAAGTGTCGTCACCTTTGTTTTATCTTTGGCAAAATAATATTAACCATGTACATAGCTATGCACTGACGTCTATAGCCGAGGAAATGATCCAGCGGATCTGATATGTGGTGAATGGCACTAGCAGGGATAAACTACGCAACTGTAGTCCACTATGCGCTATACAGGGTGTTTCAAATTTGGCCCTTACCATTGGGATCTCGGAAATTGTAAGAGATACAAAGCCGCTTAAAAAGTTGCGTATTTAGGTATTAAACAATCGTTTTAAATTTTCCTGACTTAAATTGTAGTGGGATTTCAAAATAAACTGCACATTGACATTGCAACTTTTTCTCCTCTATCAGCTGGCGTAATTGTCCTACAACGTCAACTTTATTTTTTCTCATGGGCGTCATATTGGATATTTGCACAGATGAACAGAGTTTTTAATTCTGATTTCAAAGTAAAATATGACATAAAATGTCATTGAGAACCAATAGTTATTCAAGAAAAACAGAATTTCTTAGGTAGGCTTAGAAATTATCACAATTAATTTGTTTCGTATACCAGGTTAGACCACAAATTAAACATCGCAACAGGGTTTGGAAGACAGAACAAGGGAAGCAATCCGAGCAGTGAACAATGTATAGAGAAGAGCTAGGCTTTGCATACAAAATAACGGACACGGTTATATACTATGTTTCACACACACATTTATGATTATTACCATCAATAAAATTTTCTTGTTGTGTTCAGGTTTTACCATAACTTTTTATTTCCTTATAATTGTCATCCAACAACAAATTCATGGCCAACTAAGGAGATACATCGGTGAATTTAGAACTGAAAAGTCCATGTAAATGTAAAAAATTCGAATATAGCGTCCATATGAAAAACAAAGTCGGTGATGGAAGTCGAACCAACAAACATATTGAAAATTGGACTACGCCATCTTGTAGAGAAAAAAAAACTGGCAACAAATACATGCAATTTATTTTGAAATTCCATATCAAATAGTCAGGGAAAAAGTGATTTTGAGATAAATCTGGTACGTGAAACAAATAACAATCTGATAATTTCAAGCCCTAACCAGGAAATTCCGTTTTTCTGGAATAACTAAGGTCAATGTATGACATGTCCATAAGAAAAAATAAAGTTGATGCTGGAGGACAACAGACGAAAAGTCAAACTGAAATTCTAATTATTATATCTTGTACATGAGAAAAAGTGGCAATGTTAATGTGCAAGTTATTTTGAAATCCCATTACAAATAAAGTCAGGAAAAAAGTAAAACAATTTTGAGAAAATTCGTTTTTTCCGTCTCTCTCCGGAAGCACTTTGAATTTCGAAACTTTCTAAGCGACAATTTATTGATTATCTAAATACGCAACTTTGTCCCGGTTTAAGCGTCTTCCTATCTCTTATAGTTTCCGAGATCCCAATTGTGAGGGTCGCATTTGAAGCACCCTGTATATGACGCGATATGAAACTCGTACGGTATTATGATTAATGACCGATCCGGATGTGTTGCTTCAAATCCGTGGTTCTGACCTCCAGTAGTCCGCTTATGTATGATTATCCGCACGGGTATTATGTAAAAAACCTATAAAATGCCATCTTGCAGACTAGGTAGTTTTAAGGGTGCAGTCATTTCACGTTTGATCACTAGGATCGTTGTGAGCGACTATTTATGGAGGAATGACTCAGCTAAGCTACACGCATTGTTGCTTTCATATGTTTTGTGAAGCCGAGTGGTCTGTAGTTTTCATCTCTGCGAAGAAAGTTGGTTGGATAGCAAGATCGCATCTGGATGATTATGTGTATTGGTCTTCATGGGTATAAAATCAGTGATATTTGCTGTGTGTATATCTATTAGCTGTGCCCGATGGGTTATTTGTGTCGTGCTTTCTGAAGAGAGGTTATGTTCAAAGTTATAAATTACGAAAAGAATCCAATGGAATTATCATTAACACATACAACTTACCGCTTACACCTCCAGTAATGCCATCTCTGAAGCAGATTTTACATCACATCAGAGCCAAATATTGATAACTGAAGCCGCATGACGATTAGATAATACGTAAATCTAAATGCTAAGTTAACATCTTGTAGAAAAACCTACATAATGTCACAAAATCAATATAATGTCAAAAAAAATCGGCATAATGTCACTTTTCAAGATACGTAATACCGTTTATCTGTACTCCGCTGACGATTAAACTGGCAGAGATTTCTTATGAGACCTTACAGAATTTCTCTGGAGAAAACGCGGCTTGAACGACAAATACATAGGTTATAAAAATTTGCTAAGAATTCAATCAATCCTGCAAATGTCACGCAAATTCCACATTTGGTACCTTTTTAGCACCATATAACCTACAACTCAAAAGTATTGTCTACTGTGACGAAAAAAAAAAAATACGCCTTAGTGCTAATACTAATTTCTTCCCTTTTTGCATAGTTGAGGTTGGAAGTAGAAGTCATCTTTTACTGATTCAAATCACATTCATTTTTTGTTTAGGTACGCAAATTACTCAGTTCAATATGCACCATAACCCTTTCAGGTATTATAAAGGTTTTATTTTAATGAAAAGCAACTAAAAAAATGTTATCAAAACATCTAAATTGCCAAGAATTGATAGGTTCTGAGTCCCGAATAATTGTGGTCGATACACTGGATTTTCGCTATTCACCTACAATAATTATTGTAGTTTCTGCGTTGCCTGTTCCCCATCTACAGATACGAGCTTGCAGAAATATGGTATCAGGTACAATCTATTTGGAACAAAAAGACTCACCAGTATCAACACACTGCATCGGCTGCCCTGTCAACGTATTCCAGAATCTGATGCACCTATCCGCAGTCCCTCCTCCACTGGCCAGCAAGCCGTGGTGATGGGGCGACCACGCGATGGCCTTCACGGCTGCGAGGTGGTCAGTGTACGTCTGGACGGGCGATGGAGACTGCGCGTTCCACACGTACAGTCTGTTATCGTTGCCTCCCGATGCGAGGTACTGGTTGTCAGGGGACCACTTCAGGCCGCACACTTCTTGGCGATGTCCTACCAGACGGCGTTCGGTTACGTTGGCTGAGGGAATAGACAACCTTATTACTTGTTTTTACTTGCACATTATAAATAATACCAGAGTAGGTTACTAAGCCATTCGAAGTATCGCACCCCTAGAAGATTTTGGACTCCACCATTGGTTAACCTATTTGTGTGCCTCATAAACCTGAGACACTAACCTTTTCAAAGTATATTTCTAATTATTGCAAAGAGAAACATAGCTGTGACAAATTATCTAAGACGACACTAGGGCATATCATTTCATCTCGGATAATTTCTTGTACGTCAAAATGGCTTCAGGTAGAATATGTTAATCAAAGCTTTCACTTGAATAAAATAGCTATTACACTTATATAAGACAATATTATCAACAACACTATAAGAATCAGACTGTCGATTTGACAGAATCCGACCTTTAGACTGAAATACAGTAACAAATGGAAGCAGTGACGAACAACGATGACAGTGCCAGTAGTCGGATCCTACAACATACTCAAGCAAACTTGAGTACGGGTAACCCTATCGTCTATCTTTTTGTAATGCTTTCAGACTGCCTTGCATATTCCCTCCCTTTTTGGGAATACTGAATAAACCATACCACTCAGAAAGTGAGTCCGTCTGATGGTTGTCAAGTGACAATCGAATTATCGCAGTATCTGCCCGCGCCTGTTTCATATCTACGACACATTCATTGACTTGAACGCTACGTAGCTGTCCCAACAGATGGCTATCGACTGACTGGCAATGTCACCTTAAGCTTAAGTGAATCACCTCCTCCTAGTAATCCTAAACTTACACTTTTCTGTTTTTTGTTAATTTTTTTGGTATAGGCGACTTTCTGTCTATTTATTTTTGCACGAGCTATAAACGTTTCGATACGGGTATTCCAAAAGCTATACACTCCAATGAATAGATGTAAGATAAGTACTTATCATCAACGCCTGATGGCGCCACTATCGCAAGAGAAATTTACTATCGTGTAGTACATTCTCGTAGGCGGCTAATGTCAAAGTCCTCGGATTTTAGAAAAATGGAAAAAGAGCAATATCGGTCGATTATTTGATTCTCCTTTTTGGAAGGGAAATCGCGCAGCGAAATCAAAGAGCAAGATGCTGAGTACAGTGACACTCGCACGTCGTTGTTTGATGAGCCATGCCCAGGTGCCCCGAAAACGGCTAACACGGAGGGTAACGTAATAAAAATCTCGTATTGACAGACCGCCTGTTGAAGGCGCGCGAGATAGCTGAGACAGTAGCCATCGTGACCGCGTGGATCACATTCTGCACGTATTGGGCATAAGAAAGCTGTATGTGCGATGAGTGCCGCGCTTGCTCACTCTCGACAACAATCGGAACTTCAGAGCAGTGTTTGATACTGTTTAAGCGCAACCTGAACGAGTTTCTGCATCGTTTAGTGACCGTAGACGAAACAAAAAATTCAATGGTACACACCAGAGAGCAAGGAACAGTCGAAACGTGGACTTCACTCGGCGAATATGCTCCGAAAGATGTTGGCCTGCGTTTTCTGGGATTCACAAGGTGTGATCTACATCGACTACTTGGAGAAGGGAAAAACGGTCACAGGGTTCTACTACCCCGAATAAATCGCAGAACAAACTATTCCATTTGGCGAAGAAACAAGTACTCTTCCACCATGATGACGCACTGGCAGACACCTCTGCCGTCACCACGGCCAAATTGGTCGACTTAGGCTATGAACTGCTGCTCCACCCACCGTATTCTCCAGATTTGGCCCCGTGCGACTTCTGATTCCAAACTTAAAAAAGTCACTCGCCAGGCAGAAGTTTGAGTCGAATGAGGAGGTTAGCTGGAGGCCTACTATTTTTCAGACGGGTTAAAGAAGTTGGAGCACTTTTCCAAAATTTTCGTTTTTATGTTGCAGGCTAAGTGCTTGTCGGACCGCCTTCGTACATAGCACGGAATCGAGGACATTCTTGCTCAGATGGTTTGTATCTACAAAAGACATGACATAGATTCTGATGGCACAAAATCACGACAAAACATGCCGCATATATTTAGGAAAAAATACGCTGCTGGGCTGAATTTGCTTTCCGGCAAACAATCTACCGATATTCATAACTAAACCATTCAGGGCAAAGAAGAAATTTCAGACCTGTAATCAGTTTTCTACAGAATAGACCATATTATATACTTACGCGGTGTTCTTGTATCCCTCTGCAATATGAGACGATCCCTACTCCCTGAACTTAACACATCTCCGTTCCAAGCCAACGCTCCTACTCGAGCAGTGTGTCCCATCAGCTTGTTCACCTGTTTGTTCACCGCCACGTCCCATACTGTGACGTAACCGTTGTGTGTCCCTACTGCTACCAGATGACCACGCTCACTCCATGACACCGACGTCACCACGTTGCCGTCGCTCGATAGATCACATAACCTTGTGACCTACACGGATCATTTTTCAAACGTTGTCAAATAAACTATGTTCATGGATAGAATTAACATTTTTGACAGGTGGGGGGTGGGGTAATAACATTGAATGAGACGTCCCATTAAGCTAAATGACAAACAATATTGAAAGAACGGTTTGCATATTCAAATTATTGTATGGAACAGAGTAATACAAAATACATATAAGTATTTCGAGGAAAATCTGATCGTGTGAATCTTTGAAATGACTTGTACCGAGTAGAGTTTTTGCATGTATCCTGGTTTTAGTAAAATATAGAAATCCTTACCTGACTAGTGCAAGCTGACCATAAATATACACAACTACCAAGACCTACGCTCAGGACATTCTGTACACTCCAATCGACTAGGTTTAGATAGAAATCGTCCTGCAGTTCTGGGGCATCCAATACCTAACCAGAAACGTAATTAAAATTATTAAACAGACAAGACCACAAATCTTCTATTGACTCCACAGGTTGGTTATGTAGTTGAGTAGATCTACTGAAACGCTTATTTGTTGTTTCAAACAAAGTCAGGGACTGTCAGATGCAGTCATATAAAAGAAATTAATTATATGATATTGCCTCACCGCGTATTGAACTAATTTGGTCTGCAGTAAATGACTGTTCTCTCTAATATTTTATACTGTGATCGCAATGGAATATCTTCTTGTGACTATAAATAACACATTTTTTGTGTCAATGCTTAATTTACATGGTTACTCGACTTACCTTGAATGGTATGCGGGATATTTTTCGAGTAGCCTTATGAGGCGACCTCAAAAGGCATTGGCTGCTAGTACTTAGTGGAGAAAGTGAGTAAGGACTAGATGGCAAATGGTGACCATGGTGAGGAGATCTTATTGGTGTACGAGGTTCCTGCAAATAATGGAAACGACATACAAATCAATCAAAACAAATTGTAACAAAACGGCAGTATCTTTTTACTAGTACCACCTCAAGAAGCAAAATTTTCGTTTCAATGAATTTCCGTTTATAACTTGCCTGGTAATGACAGACACCGAATATTTTGTTTGAGACGCTACAACTTTTTGTCTAATTATCACTTATTAAGTACTGCTACCAAAGTATTGATATATCATTTGAAGCAGAAAAATCCAGGAATATATAAAAAAAGACGCTAAACTGATCAAAGAATCCAATGAAAAACATAATTTTTTGTTACAATGTGACCAACAAGTTCGGACTAGGAAGAAGGAGTAAGAATACGATTAGTTTTGATGAAAAATTATGTAGGATGCAAGTGCATACTACAAGTCAATAAGACTTAAGCTGCAACCTTCTCATTATATTTTTTCTGAGAAACCATACAAGAGCGTGAGTTTCGATTCAGTTATAGTGTTCCAAACACTTGCCGAGAATGTGTGATTGCAAAAGGTAGTTCAAGTTGAATAAAAGCAGTGATTTTTATCGGTAAGTGTTGATTTAGGGTAGCGCATATGCCTCAAACGTTAGGCTTTATTCTAGCTTTTTTAATCCCGAATCTTAAAAATGTAACATATCTGACTCAACATTGAACAAAAGCAAAACGTTGTAAACAGACCAGGATTTATCATGAATACTAAAAAGGGGCCAACTGGAACATCGACTTTCAGTCTTATCTACTTTCATTTTTGGTAGTAATTTTAAGTTGACTCGTCTTATCGCAACAAGATTTTGTTAATCACAGCACGACAGGAAAATCTATTATTTTAAGTTAACTAAATCACTTCTAAGCGTTTTCATTGGATCAACTAAGAAACAATGATATAACAGCAGTAATTTCCATGTTATGTTCCAGTATGTATTTATTTTTAGACAAGGATCTCATCCGATGATACACAACATATACAGGTATATAGAAATACTGGGTGGAGTAGATTAAGGAAGATTTTTTTTAAACTTGAACCAAGACGAAGGCTTAAGGCCTAAGCACATCTATAGGGGGATATAGGGGAAAGAGGGAACGCCACACGGGAACACGTGCCCTAAGATTTCCCATATCAGGTCTTTCGCCATACTAGCAGTATCAAGGTAATTTTGGCGAAAAGCAATGCTACGTAACCATATACCTGTAAGCTTGGCTCCACAGATTAGTAGCTACGTGGCTCCTTCTAATCGATTAGAAGTCATTGGTTGTGTCAGTGCCAGCTGTGGATAGGCTAGCAAAACCTTATCGACTTACTAGTGTTGTATAATAATACCAAAGGTCATTACAGAAACTATTAATTTCCGATTCATAGAGGGGTCAAGGAACCTTTGGGAGCAGTAAGTAAAGCCGATTTCCGTGAAGCATTACGAGTTGGAATAATTCTAAAATTACATATTTCAGATTTTTCGTGATAACCTAATAACTAAAAATGGCGTCAAGTAAGTTGACTCTGTACTTCCCACGCTGTTATCAGTTCGTAATTGCTGTAGGTGCTCATGATTGTTGCGATGAACAATCCCGCATGAACCACGATATTACCCTTCGCCATGCACAGTGCACGTAGTAGGAGGCAGTAGTGTGGAAGCGATTGCCGACTGTAACGTACGACCACCGACGACGACGCTTGTCCGTCGGGGGACGACGTCGCTTGTATCGACACCCGACTGTACTAGTTATTTCTAAGTTTTAAGTGTAAACGAACGGGGACATCAATGATGAGTGAAATATGCCTAATATGTGCTTATAATTACTGGGGTGGAAAGCGCATAAATATACCAACGTCAAAAAATGAGATATACCTTCCCCCACCCCCTGCAACCCCTAACCAACAATTTTTCCGAAAATTATCAGCATCGTCCGAAACGTCAAAAAACGCCGCCGCCAATGGAAGTAGTCAAAAACTACAAAGCTTTTTCGCGATTACAATACGTCCCAACATTTTATCCCTCCAGTAGGCGATGGAAGTAAACACGTAGAGCATCCGAAAACCGCAATTTTCACTAAGATGGTGTTGAAATGTCTATCGTACTCATCCCTATGGTAAAGTCACGAACTTGTTTTTAATACGTTATGCATATGATAGTTATTCAAATTTATATATTCAGGTGCAGTATGTAACTTCCTGTATATTATAGAGGGTCAATAAAGTGGCGATCATATACCTCCGCGCTTATTTCGGGGATAGCAATTCATAGCTGATGGATGTGCCATAAAATATTATTAATAAAACAGCCGAATAATTTATAGTATCAGCGGTAGAGTAAACTATGATACCTTTTTATGATGATTAAAATTAAAATTTGCTACAAGGAATGTGGGTCGAAACGAGCTAAATCGTTTAAGCTTACATCAAAGGTTTGAAACTGATATGAGTATACTGAAGTAAACATTTTATCAAATATCAAAACAATATATATAGCTATATATAAGCTGGGCAACTGAACTAAATATACAGTTGAAATAGTTTCAAAATATTTTTTTTATGTGTCACAGTTGTTGAGATAATTTTGAAATTGCTGTCAGACTTTCTAAAGGCGAGTAGGATTTTTATGGTTTCAAAATTAGGACCTAAACGTCATTCAACTTATGAAGATAGTCTATAACAATTATTTATCTTTCTGCGAGGGAGGGGCTGGGTAGCCGAGCGGTCGCGTCGAGTTGCGAATCAGTCGACTCGAAGTCTCGCGGGTTCGAATCACTCGGAAATTAATTTCGAGTCTTGGATGTTGTGCTGTCTATATTACGCACAAGACCAGTGCAAGAGATTAACATAGGTGTACCGCATCGTTCGTGCTGGTTGATTCCGTTACCAGTAGATGGTCTGTGGAGTAGTACTGTGTTGATACTACGTGGTCAACAAAAAGGGTCAGAGGTGGTTACCACTACTACTACTACTACTACCGTCAAATAATATTATGGATACATGATTCATAGTGCACAATGAATCGAAAAGTTAATAAACCCTGTAGACTAAACATTCCTTATACAGTAATGGTAATACACTTGTAGAAAGCCCTCCTAACTCACGTTTCTAAAAATGACGGTTTAATTAGTTATCAGCTTATATTCCAGTGTCACTGGAAAAATGAAGTTACAGTGATGAGAAAAGCTGTAGAAAAAAAAGGCATAAAGTAGGTTGACTCTGCACTTTCCATGCAACGCTATCATTTCACAAAGGATCATTTTCAGCATAAGCTAGACCCTCTGAGAAAAAATTCAGTTAAACAGGTCCATACAAATAGTCCACAGACATAATTTCCCTGCCCTGCCGGTAGTTTTTTTTTATACTCCAACTACCACGAAGGCCTAAGGCCTAAGCACCCATTGGGTACCGTGGGGCTATAGGGGGATACATGGGAAAGGGGGGGACGCCACACGGACTCTTGCGAGGGAACACGTGTGCATGCAACATGCACACATTCTGGCTCCGCCTACGAGAACCGCCGGGTGGTACCTCCGCGTTCGACAGTCAGAGACCATCTACCACCTACGGACACAATCACAACATCCATAGCCAAGAGAAAAATTTCTCCTGGGACGGGACTCGAACCCGCACAGCGCACGGCGACTGATCAGGAGACCGAAGAGTCTACTACTGCGGCCACCGCTGCTGCCTTCTGGAAATGTCGAACATCCCCGATACTTAGCGTGCTCCCCGGTCTGACGTGGCAACGCGGTCAGTGCATAGGAAACAGTATGCTGTGATGCAACAGAAACATGATTAATGCCATACCAGAATAACAGAACGCTCACCAAGAACGGCGGCACGCTGCCAGGAGCAGCAGCAGCGGCCAGTAGGTAGGCGATTCGTCTGCTGAAAATATTTTTAAGGGCTAATGTTCGGAGAAATCTATGATGTGTGAACTATGTCAAATAGGTGTGTAGAATTACTAAGGTTGGGAGTGGTATCAATGAACTAACATCAAAAATTGAGATAAATCCCCCACCCCGGAGATTTTTTACTTCTAAAATGTTTTTCAAATATGATCAGGATCTTCTGAAACGTCAAATAACGATGTCTGAGCGGTTTTCATTCTTTTTCGTGTTTGGCCTTTCTCTCTGCCACTTATAGATATATTTTCAAAAACTAGCTTTTGCTACTTCTGCAACTACTATCTTTCTGTAGGGAGTTGATAAGCCTGAAAGTCTTACTTAATGATACTAAGAGGACATTCAACAATGTATCTAGCGGGGTATATTTAAATTCTCAGACATTAAAGCAGCTGCTCTTGGCATATCCGAGGGAAAGCTTAACTATAGTTCAGGAATGCACTACTACTCTCTAGTATTTGACAAGATCCAAAGAAGTGACCCTGCTCTTGGTCTCCGGCCATCCTGACCTTCCTTCAGGAAAGCTCGACAGATTAGTGGAACAGCATATGGAAAACGGTGTTGGTACACTCAGGGTCATCAAAAAGGGCTGAAGATGGCCTAATTGCCAGGCTTTGCCTTCCCATTACTACTACTCAAATTGCTCCCTTACCAACATACGGGTGTTGAAGTTATAACTACCAGCACTACTACTGTATAAATTTCCAAATTCTAAGTTTTCGAGTTTGCCCAAGTGTTAACAAACTGTTACCAATACATGGTACTGGACAAAAATCGTTGAATATAAGATACGTAAGTGACGTGGTGTAACAAAATATAAAAAATAAACCCTATAATTTAAACTGTTTCCTGAACCATTATTATTGGCGTGGGAAGTAATATTTAGATTTTGAATGAACATTAATATGTTCTCCTTCTTCATGTTGATAAAGGTCAAAGTAGAAGGCAATGTGTCAGTCAAATGAAATCGACACAAAAACATGTGTATCGTCTACATTTTCAAGAGTTAAATTATTCAGAAGATAAAATCGTCGTAGCATTGTGATAAGGAGTAAATAATGATAATTGTTTGTGCAATGAATGCATTTCCATTAACATTTCTCAGTTTGTCGCGTAT